ATGAAAAAAGATATTCTCGGTGTCTTGTCTTCTTTTTTTTGCATTTGTCCAACTTACAACTCTAGCCCTTACTTTCTCAATCCAAGCTGAGGCAGCTGAATTCGAAAGTTTATCGGTTAGTTGCTGTTTCTGCACTCTGGAAAAAAATATTTAAAAATTTTCATATTTTTAAGTTGGGATGATTTTAGAAGAAACCATCATGTCTGCCCGATTTCAGCAAAACCGTAAAACCTATAATGAAAGGGTTCCCTAACTTTTAACTTTAAGCAAATTTTTCTCGGCCCTGTCAAGGATATAAAAAAGTTGTCCACTAATAAATTCTTTATCATAATACCAGAAGTGTTTTGTCAGTGGACACATTTTTCGTATATTTCACAGAAATCGAAAAAAAAAACTTTAGGCCAATTTTTCTCGGTCCCTAATAAAGATTTCAAAATGTTCTCAACTGATAAAATGTTTGTCATAATATCAGAAGTTTTTTGTCATTTTACACATTTTTATGCCTTTCACAGAAATCGAAATAAGTAAGCTCGAACTTGACAGTGTGGGCTCCGTTCTATTAAAGGTTTTACGGTAACTGTGGTTGCAGACATTGAAGGTTGTGAATATAAAACTAGATTTGTAAATTTCAGTCATAGGTGAATTACAGGAGTCTTCAAGCAATCATTTAAGATAGTTGAATCAGAAAAACCATGTTTTCAGTCTGGGGTTTTCAGATGGAACCCTTTCTTCATGTCCAGTTTTGATCTTCCAATTTTGGAAATTTCGACTGATAAATTAAATCATCGAAATGTCGAAAATTGGTATGTCTTTCTAGTCAAGATCTGTGATTTCCTTCATCTTAATGCTTCTGGATACTGTACTATTCCCATAAGCTTCCCTTCGTGGCTTCTCCTCATTCTCAAAAAAATAGCTCCGATTTCTTAAGGGCATGTGACTGAAAGCGAAAATTAGGTCAATCGGGACTTCTGAAAGTGTTAGATTACTTGTTGCAATCCTTCATTAGCTTCTCTTCTTTTTTCCCTTTTTTAGTATTTTTTTTTGGTGTGCTAGTTTTCGTGATCTGATCCCCCAAATTTCTATTTCCAAATGAAGAGATATGGCCGTTTTTTTCTCGGAGAGCTCATTTTGTATCGGCTGAAAACACGAAACCTTGTCTCGTAACTTGCTATTTTATAGAGCATAATATCTCAAGCATTTTTTTAGTTGACACAATTTTTATGTTTTCTTTAGGAACCGAGATAAATTAGCGCAAACTTGATAGTGTGGGGCTCTTCTATAACCGGTATTACAGAATCAAAATAGGTAGTTCAATTCTTTTTTGTATGCCTTTTACATATACTCCTTTCTTGAATTTTCTTTTCTGATACCATTCGTCCCTTAAAATAACTCATTTTTCTATTTCAGAGACAACTTCCTTCATCTCCACATTTCTTCTTTTCCCTCCTGAACTCAGAGGCAATTTCTCAAAGCTTTTGCTCAATGGAGAGCAACATGCTCTTTTTCTTTTTTCTCTTTTCCCCCCTCTGGCTCATCGTCCAAAGGCCTTCCTCCTCCTCTTGCTCAGCCGAGAGCCAACAGCTTCGAAAAAGAGAAAAAGGAGAGAAAATAGAGAGAGAGAGAGAGAGAGAGAGAGAGAGAGAGAGAGAGAGAGAGAGAGAGAGAGAGAGAGAGAGAGAGAGAGAGAGAGAGAGAGAGAGAGAGAGAGAGAGAGAGTATGTCAGTCAAGTGGGCGGAGTATCTCTCTCATTTTTTCTGCTTCTTTTTTTCCTTCGTTTTTTTTCTCGTCTTCATCTTTTTCCTGCTCGTTGTCATTTTCAGCCCTTCTGCTGCTGTTTTCAGCATCTTTTGTTGTTATTTCGGGCCCCAGCCGAGACCGCCGGGATCTCAGTTATTTCATTCAATTCACTTTCTGACGTCATTCCTTTTTTTCAAATGGTATATCTATCGAATACCCAGAATTTCGTTGTTCATCTGGAATTCCAGACATTGCACTGTTCTATTTCCGTTGGACAAAAGAGACCGGATTTAGACGCCTACACACAAAAATACATTCATTTCCTTTCGGCGTTTCGTGGGCAGATATTTTTTCTGTTTTCAGACAGTTAGAAAACTAATTACGGAGCCATTTTTGTTGAACTGAAAAGTTTCGAAAACACGATAGTGAACTACGAAGCTCTACTATTTTGAAATTAAGAAAACTTTCAAATTTGGCTAAAGATTGGTCTACATAGACTTCAGAAGAAGCCCACGAGGAATCTTTTTTGTTTCTCAAAGAATTTTCTATTCCACTGACATATTTTTCTAATCGGATCCATCCAAATCCATTTCTTTGACGTGGATCTCTAGGCTCTGTCTTCTGAAATCCACGTCACCAAGGGAACTAATCCAGTTCATTAATCTATTTTTGTATTCCTCTTTTCCAAATTCAGATTCCATTTTCAACTGGCAAAAAAAATCAGAGGGAAACTCGAGAAAAATTTCTCTCCCCGTGTAATTCAATATCTCCTTTCTTTTCTGTCTCATTTTTCCCCTATTTCTTCTCTTTTCTTCTAAGTTCGTCTTCCATATCTTTCTTTTTTGTCTTCTTCTTCTTTTTTATTGTATTTTCATTGATTGATAATCACCGATTAGACGTCTGGAGGCGACCGAAGTAAGAAGAAAATAGAAAAATTATACCCAAAAAAGAAGAATTCGTCTGATTCTCTGCCTCTTTCTCAAAGTTGAATCATCTTTTGGTCATGTATCGGGAGGTAATTTTCATATCAGGTTGACTCCACCCACTATTTTGTTTTTCCTTGTTTCTCTCATATTGCCACTCTAGGATCGATCACAATCATATCACACCACATGGGAATTTTTCTCTTTTTTTTCCTATTGCAAAACTTTTAATGGCGGCGAGAAAAAAACGAAATCAGTTAGTTGTTTACTAGCAGAGAGTTCATCAGTGTTCAAAAAATCCTTATGATCAATTTTGGAAAATAAAATTTAAAAAATATATTGTTGATATTGTGCTCAATTCCAGGCAGGGATGTTCGGAATGATCGTTTTGGAAACTCGGAATATTTCGATTTTGAAAAATTTGAAATTTTCAAAAGGTTCCAATTTTGAAAAACTCTGATTTTGAAAATTTCGGAATTTCGGAATATTTCGATTTTGAAAATTTGTGAATTTTGGAACTTCGGCATATTCCGATTTCGGAATTTTCGGAATTTCGGAATATTCAGATTTCAAACATTTCGAATTTTTGGAATTTCGGAATATTCCGGTTTTGAACGTTTTGGAAATTCGGGATATTCCAATTTCAGAATTTCGGAATTTCTGAATGTTCCGATTTCGGAAATTCTCGGAATTTCGAAATTTTGGAAAGATGCTATTCTGAATATTTTGGAATTTCGGAATTTCGGAAAATTCCGATTTCGAATATATTGGAGTTTCGGAATATTGGAATCTCGGAATTTCCGGAATTCTGAATTCCATTCCGAACACCCCTGCTATCATTGAAAACATTTTTAAACAATTTTATCATAGTTTCAGAGTTTTAGTGTTCAAAAACTTTTATGATTTTCTTTTTTAGAATTTTTAATTTTTATAACCCCACTTTCATATTTATAACCCCGTTTTCTAGATCAGTTCTAGATGTTCCTGCTTTCTGGTCTTCTCTGATTCTTTGTAAATCTGAATCCCTCAATTCCCATAAGTTAAAAACCAACGCTAATCTCATAGTCTTCTTGTCTTCTCGACTTGACAAAAATGCTTTTCTTTTTTCACCAATCTCTCTGGGATCTTTTTCTTCTTTTTTTGTTTCAAAGTTTCAAAAAGACTTTGTCCATCGCCCATTTTCTCATGTCTAGAAAAAAGTTGAAAACCGGAGAAAAAGACAAAAAAGATGACTCAATCAATGATGTTTTTTTTTGTCTTTTTGTCGTTCGTTTCCTTTCCGAAAACATTTTTTCTTCATCTTTCATTTTTCAGCTGACAAGAAGACAAGTCATGTGTTTTGTCACTGGGAAAGTTCTGAAATGAACCTGTGAGAAAAATTGAAAATTCAGATTCAAAAAAGATGAGAATTAAGGGAAGAAAGGAATGTGTGACCACTATCAAAAGATTCGAATCTCTTCATCAAAAAACGATTTGGTTTCTCTTGATTGATCACTTGTCTTTTGATTTGTTCAAAAACCTGAATTTTATTATTTTCCAGGGCAGGAAATTCATTGAAAAGTTGAAAAGGATTAGCAGGATTAGTAATCAAAAACTATTATTTTATCTTCATCACTTTTGACTCCATTTTTTGAGATGTAAATGTCGTTTGAAGAAGGAAAAATAGAAGATTTAGACTACAAAGTAAAGAAAAAGAAAAAAGAAAAAAGAAGAGATTTTGTGCTTTGGTGATTTCTTTGCCTTTCCTGACATCCAGGAGTCCTAGTGGTTTGAAACTTCTTTTG